AATTCTTTTGAATTTAGTACCTATCTATGACAAATTTATGAGATCCTACAAACGGCGCGGCAAACGCCATCTGTACTACATGTAATGGAATTCGCTGTATCAAGGCAGCAGCTAGAGTTGGTCTGTATTCTGTGGAAAGCATCTGAAATACGATCGAAATCTTGATCTGCGTCTGGTAGTTCGGACATAATACTGACAATCATAAACTTCTTTGAATATTCTTTCTCTTTGAAGAAAATAGGACAAGAAGGTCATGGTAAGTGTTCTGCCATAATACGGATCGCACTTTTTTTTATTATTTTTTTAATCTAATTAGCACGTCATAGATAGAACGCCGCTGCCATAGAACTCTGAGTAGCAGGATACTTACGCTATCTGTAGATATTTGCTATTTAATTGTGGAATCTAAAAATACTAATAATAACTAAGACCCTTTCGTAAGAAGGATATCGTCTTGTCAAGTTGAACCCATAGCATTATAGTCCATTTTTAATTAGTTGTTTGCAGGAATTCTTCTGAGCTTCGGATAGATATCCAATTTTTAAAAGCACTTTTTCATGTTCGGAATGCTTCTTTTATTTATAATTGAACCCAAAATCAGTTAACCCATAGCTAATTTTGTTTCGTCAGTTGCCGCTTCCATATTAAACAAATTAATTTATTATTTCCCCTTAATTTTTGCTATTAAACTGTTTAAATTAGAAGCCTTTCAGTTAAAATACGCTTTCACCACTACCTAATGATTTTTTAATGAAAAAGACTATAAATAAAAGCCTGGCCAGAGCAGACACCGTTTTGTTGACATGATTTAAGTTACTTTATGTCATTGTAGATTGTAACCCTTCACAAATGCATTTGATATGGATTTCAAATCTGATACAGTTTATTAATTTTAATGTTGATCACGCGTCCACCGTGTAATTTAATTAAGACTGTTTCGGAGACGACAATTTACTAAAATGTTTCGGACTATGAATTTTCTTTTTGAAATTTGTCATCATCCGCAGGAATGATTTATTCTGTTTGTAATTAAGAGGCAGTTCAGTTTGGAAAACTAATGACGCTAATTAAGGTTCATTTTTTATTTTTTATTTTTTGCTCCTCATCTTCCTTTCGGGTGTAAATTTCGTGGCGAGACTCTAAGGATTGGTAACACCTCTCTTCGTTGGAAACAAATTTACGACGTTACTGCCCGTCCGTCCTCGTTGTCCAACGTTTTTACGAGATATAACTATAATTAATCGTTTATGTAAATCGAATCTTTATTCTCAATTATCGGGCATTTTTACGACATTTCGACGGGGTCGACTCTAAAATATGACCCGCATCTAGACATGAAGTTTAGCATGTGGAAATGTTCACCCTATCGATGCGATGTTTTACGATAGATTCGTAAATTGAAAGAGTTCTTTTGCCACCAATTCCCCTGAAGGTCATTACGTATCAGCCGTTTTAAAAACAAAATCGCATGCACACTTGGTACTCAAGGGAAAACCCTCATTATTTGGCTACGAGTACATCTCTAATGTTTGCAAAATCACCAGAGTTGTTTGATGGCGTTTCTACTTAAAAAGTACTATTTGTAGCGAGAGCTAAACCACAGGGGATTCATAGGGTACTTATTAGAAGAATTTCGGCGATTTATTTCTGTATTGTGGAATTAAATGGAATTACAAAGTATTTATTTCTGTCTGATGGGGAATTACCTATTGCAATAGCTAATACTAGTCGAAATGGTCCCTGCTATTTTGTATGTACTCGGCCACTGCTTGACTTGTACACTAGATAAAAATTTTCAGTCTCTCAGAGTCTTTCAGCGTCTCTGAGAGCGTCTCTCACAGTCTTACACAGTTTCTCAGTTATTGCCTAGGTGTTTTTATGGATCTCTCACAGTCTCTGTATGAGAGACTCGAACGATAAAATTGTTAATTCAGAGATTCGAGTCTCTCAGAGAGAGACTGAATGAATAAAACTGAAAAATTGAGAGACTCGAGTCTCTCGTTGAAAGACTGGGATCTCTGAAATATGTTAAACCATGTCTATCGAGACATTGAGATTCGAGTCTCTAGTTCAGAGATTCGAGTCTCTCGTTTAGAGACTGGATACGAAAAGAGAATCTCTCTATGAGCGACTCGAGTCTCTCGTTCAGAGACGCTAAACAGATTTTTTGACAGTCTCTCAGCGACACCAGGGAGACTCGATGAGAGACGGAGATTCGATTCTCGCTTTCAGAGACTCTGAGAGACTGGACGTTATTCTGAATCTTATTCTTAATAGAATTTTATATTCCTGATTGTCTAGCATGAGCGTCTCTTTTGTTCATTTAATTAACAATACCTAATAACGCGTTACCACCAGGGTTAAAGACGGTAAATAAATACTATATGTAGACTAGAGTTAGGTATCAAAACAGGCTTGGTTATTAATGCAACATCAGCGATTCATTTAATCGGTCAGGTTGGGAGGTCAGTTCGTGCCCTGTCCACACCGATCTATTCCAATTACCGCGGCTGGTAAATGGGCCTCCCAAGTAAGATACGGTGCAATTACACAACAACGGTCACAATGGCAATGATGATGTGCCCAACATCTTCTGCATTCTCACGTAGACGTTGTGATAAAAGTTAGGAAATCGAAAAGTAAATGACGAACTAATGCAAAAATTAGTTGATAGGGCATTCAATTTAGTCATTATGCACTTCATTTAATTAAGTAATGCGGGGCTTCATAATTAGCATAATTAATTTAAAATCATTAAAACAATAATTCAAGGTTAACGAACAAAATATTGAATGAGTTATTCTCGAGATAAAAATGTTCAGTCTCTCAGAGTCTCTGAAATTTTCTAAGTTCAACATATTTCAGAGAGACTCGAGTCTCTCAATTTGTCAGTTTTATTCATTTAGTCTCTGTGTGAGAGATTCAAATCTCTGTATTAACAATTTTATCGTTCGAGTCTCTCATACAGAGACTGTGAGAGATCTATAAAAACACCTAGGCAATAACTGAGAGACTGTGAAAGACTGTGAGAGACGCTCTCAGAGACGCTGAAAGACTCTTAATTTGATTATCTTAATTTTGACTACTTAAATCATTGTTATTTGAATAATTCTAAACATGTTGGTTCTCAAGATAGGTAAAACCTTTTAACAATCTTTAAGGATTTTACACTGGATTTTAAATATTTCTGTGACTATTGGAGTGAGTAAAAACGATCACTCGTACCACCCTACTACCAATTAACTTCTGATTCGCTTCTAGTGATTTATTGATAGATTGATCCAAAATCAATAATGAATAATGAATAATTGAATGAATAATTCTAAACATTTTGACTGTAAGGGTAGATAGAACTCATTAACAATCCTTAACGATTAACCATTGGATTTTAAATGCTTCAGTGACTAATGGCATTTATTTCAAAACCAGTTAGTTTAATTTAATCGTTAAACTTTTGACTTCCTTCTGACAAAACTTATGTCAAGAACAAGAAACCACTTAGATGCAACTTCAAACAATATGGACCTGCACTCGTTTTGAATTTCTTGATACAAGAGCAACATTTACCATGACTTTTGACACACACTGTACAGTTCGAGGTGGAAAAACGCCGAACAAGTCATCTGAATGCGAGATCTGCTCTTCATTGTTGTGTTTTTTCTCAATGAGTTACAGGATCATTTTGAATAGTGTCTGGCCCTAAACGGAATTTTACAAGATCCGTCGCTTTTGTTGCTACATGTTTTCGTCCTCATCTCGCGGTAATGTTATTAAGCCGCAATTTCCACCAGAAAGTTATTACAATGGCCTGCGCGTATGTGTGCTTTCCGAACAACAACGACACTCGGTGTTCCCAGGGAAGACAATGGCCGCGACGAACTCGATGACCACACTTAAGCGTTGTGTAGGTACTCGGTTAATGGTTTTCGGAATTAATTTGGACGAAAAGCAGAGCCTGGGATATCGGAAACATACACTGTCGAATGGTAAACAGGACATGTTTTTCTGATGATGAGTCCTTATAATAGGTAGAGAATTAAAACAAAATCCTGTTATTTAACGTGAACGAGAGTCAGACCGTCGATACCATAAGAATACAATGTTGTAATGAAACTTCAAATATAATTTCTATCTGTAGACAATCATGATCATAAGGTCGTCAGTCCTAAGACTGGTTAGATACGCACCTCCACTCTTTTCTATCTTGAGCTAATCTTCGCATTTCCCTAAAACTAGAACAACCCACATCCTTAAACTGTTTGCGAACAGTAATCTAATCTAGATCTACCTCTACCTTTCCTAACTCCCGTTTCTGCCTCTAATATGTCTCTGACTAGACCTTCATGCCTGAGAAGGTGTCCTACTAACCTATCCCGCCTATTTCTTATTGACTCCTCTGTTCTCCTATTCTTTCTAATACCTCTTTATTGGACAATACGTAAGTTAAATTCTATAAGGGAAATAAATTAAGTTAACTAACTCATTCCAAATAATAAGTCAGTAGAATTTAATTTTTCTGCAAAAATCACCAATCAATTGTACCTATTTCACTATTTATACTTTAAAATTACTGTTCTTAACTGTTCTGAATGCAATCCCCATCATCCCAAAAATGGAGTAGATTACTTACATTTTGTTAAGAAGAGAATAATCCTATACCTAATAGGTATAATAAGACGTTAATAAGAAAAAAGAGTTTATGATGTTAACGATTAGAATATTAAGTTAAAGTATTTACCTATTAAGAACCACTTGAGGAGTTGAAACTGATTACTACCGACAAACAGTTGAAATTCCTTATCCAATATCTATGTACTTATTGCCATACACATCGGCATATTGCAAGTGGATAATAGTACATAGAATATAATACATATTATGATGAAGGCATTAAATATTATCTTTTACTTTTCTGAATTAGTTTGTTGTGTTTCTGTAGTCGGTGTTTCCAGTTTACTGTTTGGACGTTGTTTATACATTATTAGCACGATTTTTTATAGTTTCAGATAAAAATTCCTTGGGTGTACATAATTCAAGCGTTCGATCGGTGACAGGCAAACAGCGGCATACGTGTGTAAAAAGCCGGTGTATTACTCAGCCTTGTCCATATAAGACACCTCAAAACTGGGACAACTATTGCAAGTAAGTACTTAACGTGTTTATCCTGTATTATGTAAATCGCTCGGGCAACCAGTCCGTCCAGGGACTGATGCGTATATTCTATAATTAGAAAAATGCCCCTTCTCTGCTATAAGTATAGGTAGGTAACTATAATAGAGTTGCCGTATTAAAACGGCTACGTGACACTCATCGGTAACGAGCCAACCTAATTGGCGCATGCACATCAGGATTACCGAGCTTATTGTCAACTCATTACGTCGCTTCTCTTCTTTTTAACTGCCGGCTCCTTATCGCTGGGCGCTGATCGAGTTTCATCCCGTATTGTCGGTGGAAGATACATAATGCACTTTTCTTTTATTTTTATTAAAATTGTTAATCGTATTTTTGAGATTTTCTTGGCTATTCTAAGCAAAATTGCACCCCTACCCCCAAAAGACATTAGACATTAGACATTAGACATTCTTATTCACCATACAGTCCATTTAATGCTTAACTTATATTATAACTCTAATGGGTGTACCTATTCATTGCTTTGTAATAAGTTTATATCTGCTGTTAAATAAGTTGCTCTTAGAGTATGTGGAACAAGTATGTGACGCCTTGAGTAGACAAAAGGCTACTTATCAGGGGCCTCACCCTCGCGGAACTATCTCGAAATCGTGTAGACCATCTACAATAACAGTCCAATTATTCTCCAACACCTCAGTCAATGTCTGATCTAGATACCATTATCTTAAATCTCAAAAAACAACGGATCTAATTAAGGACCAATTCCCATTTTCCAGCTTGAGGTTAAACATAAATTCCACAGGAATACCAAAAAGGAATAATAACTATTCTAATTCGAGTAAGACCCCGTTATTTGAAAGAAATCGACAAGTGAAATGAGTAGCAAAGATGTAGTAGTTTTAGCGAGTATGAATTAGTAAAATACAGATGGATTCAGTGGATTTTCTTGTCAATTCACGCAAGTCTCGTTTGGTTTAGCTTTATGATTACTTAGGCCTGATGAGCATCAGGTAGGAGACGAAAAATTAGAAGAAGTCGGTGTTTTTCGGTATCCAGGTGGTTAGATAATTAATTCAGCATGGATGGTGCAGTAGAAATATAAAACAAAAGATAGCCTAGGGTCGAGTCACCTTTAACAAAAAAAAGTTACTTCTATGCTCGCGAACAGTTAATTTGAAGATTCGGAAAGATTGTTAAAGGTGTTGGTAGTTCTGATTTGCACGACGCTGTACGGGTGCAGGCGGAAAAGAAAAGGTTCGATGCTTGCTGTTACAAGCGAATGATAGATAGAAAAGGTTAGAAATGAGGAGATACTGAAAAGAGTTAAACAGTCGACGCTATGGAAGTCAGCATGCAGTAGGTAGAATAGGTAAGACACCTTCTCAGACATGAAGGACTAGTTATAGACAGATTAAAAGCAAATACAGGAATTAAGAGGAGTAAAGGCAGACCTAGATTATATTACTGTTCACAAATAGTTAAGGATGTGAGACGCCCTAGTTTTAGGAAAACGCGAAGATGAGCTCGAGAGCTCAAAAAAGTGGAAGTGCGTGTATTAGCTAGTCTTAGGACTAACGCCCCTATGGCAATAAAGATGATGGTGATAAACCTAAATAAGTGTAGTAGAGGGATTCTTAATTTGTCCATTGTATGTATTGGAGTCCTTTGTTAATACCCAATGCAAATCCATTTCGCAAGCTGGCCGTGGATTTATGAACCAAAGAACATGGTACGATTCAAAATCCTAAGGTTTTTATTGCGGACATCATTAACTATGTTTCCATATGATCTTTTTTACCTCCAGCGACAACTCCATGTGTCCAGAATATTGTAAGAAAGTCTAAATTCTTTAATATATGAAAAAACTTGATTTTCCTTGCTTTATCCAAAAACTCAAGCGTTGAAACGTAAGGAATTGGAAAAGAGAAATTTTGAAGGGTGTTGCTTGTAGAAAGCCTGGATTCAATGAAAAATGTGGAGCTTACCTGATCCCGCCAGCATTACCAAGTTACGCATGGCTGTGGGTTAGAACCATCCAATCATCATCGTCCGATATTCGCGTAAACGGGGCATTAGTATGCGACCGTAAAGGCGCTGTGTACAAGCTACACCGCGTTCTGACAACCGCGGTAGCCGCAATTAAGCGCCTGGCTACATCCGAGCCGGCTGATACTAGTGGCTGCTGTGCTTCTGGGCATTTCTACTACTACCTATACTACACCCAGGACCCCAGTATAACAAACTAATACACTTCGAAGCGCTCTTCATCCCAACGGACCTCACGCAATCTTTGTAATCGTATTCCTTTTCGACAGCGAACGCGCTTTTTTCTTTCCTTTTTTCTGGTTAAGACGTGAAAGGACCTCCTTGAAATAAATAAGTAATTAGAATGAAATTAAGAAAGAGGTCTTGTTCGTAATAGCATGTTAATTAAACAGGAGGACGAAACTCTTCACAGCATCTTTCAATTTTTGACCAGGACACGTTAATCTTGTACATTTTGAAATTAAACCTGCGAGGCTAAATTAAACTGCAACGGTTTTATGAGAATCAAATGCATTATGCTACAAAAAAGCTTAAATAAATAAGTAAATATAAAGGCCAGTATGTACCTTAACAAAAATACTGGTATGCAAGGGAAAAAAAAGTAGGGAAAGAGCAAGTATAAAGATAGGAAACGAAAGAAAGTCAGATAAGTCAGGACGGAAAGAGTAGTAGGAATATAAAGCAGGGTCGAGCCGCCTTTAATAAAAAGAAGTCAGTTCTATGCTCGAAAACGGTTGATTTAGAAATTCGAAAAACATTTTTAAAGGTGTATGTTTGGAGCGCGGCGCTGTACGGGTTCGAAACATGGACGGTGGGCGCGGCAGAAAAGAAAATGTTAGAAGCGTTGAAATGTGGTGTTATAGACCGTGGATAGAGAAGATTAGAAGTTAATAGTATTAGAAAAAATAGGAGAACAGAGGACTGTGGAAGTCAATAAAAAATAGGAGTTAAGAGGAATAGAGGTAGACCTAGATTCAATTACTGTTCGTAAATAGTTAGGGATGTGGGATACTTTTGTAGATCGTTTAATTCCCTTCAAGAATATGTATTGACTTTTAAAGTACAACAATTCGTTAAAACACAATAAAGTTCCAAAAAAAAATTCCAATGTTATTTAAATGGGATATCAAAAATCACGATGAGACACCTCTTAAGATTAAAATTAAGAGTTGCCCTTTTGACAGACTCATTTTTTTGTCATTGAACGGTATTTTCATGGTAACAGAAAAAAAATTGTTTTTCTTGGGCCACCCTAATCTATCTACCATAAATATGTCAGTATTTAAGATGTGAATTACAATTCATTATTTCGATATTAACAGAGTTGTAATGACTATTATGAAACATTGTAATTTATTAAGTTTTAATTTTATAAAACATATTCAAAAAATTCTTACAGAAAATTTAAAAAACAATTTGCATATTACTGCACATAGATATTGATGGTATCATTTTTGATTGTAGTATTTTAGAATACATATAACGGCTCCTTTAAATAGTAAGTTGAGAATTATTCTGATGAGTCTTGCTTAAAACAACCCGTAACGACCATTTCGATTTTTTGATTGGAACTATTACAATTCAGTGAATAAATAAACATCGTTAACTTGTTGATTATAAACGCGTTATTATACCTGCAATAACAATTACAGCTATAGACCACATTACCTATGTATTAATGAAACGACCATTAAATTTTTCTTGGATTTTCTTTGGAGAGGCGCTGGCCGTAAAAATTCGTTTGAACAATGTATTTCCACGAACACGTGTAAATTACATACAATTGGAACATCAATTTCAGCTTTAGTATATTTACATAGTTGATGAATAATAATTTTGTGCCATAACGGTCGTTTTATGGAGGAACTAGAGAAGAGGATTACAGTTTTACGGCATTGTAAATCAATTATTTATGTCTCTGGAAAGCGTAGAGCTCTTCGGGAGAACTTATTAATGAAATTAGAATGACGAAATCGGCCGTATTATACGTTACTTAACGTGTCCTCTTGGCAATTTAAATGCAACGATTTTATTGATGCCTTTCAATAAAACTTTTATACGGCGTCCCGCGTACGTCGTTGGTAAACGGACGTACTTGCGCGAATATATTAGTACATTAATCGTAATATAATTTATGTATGTGCGTATATGTGTGTTAGTATATTGGTGCAGTCTCATTGCCTCATGCTGAGAACGGAAGTATTTATTGCTAAATCTCAGAATTCGCTTAGGTAGTTACAGTTGAAAAGTCAAACAGCAGTTCATAAATAAACCAACTATTGCATTCAATGAGATCTACCTGTTATTAAGATGTATTCTTTGCATAAGTTAATCAACTACGACAACTGCAGCCACGTTTTGTGCTTGTAAACACGATGTGTAGAGATCTGCCACTAAAAATTGTGTAATTCACTTATTCAATAAAAGTCTTTTGCAATTAAAGATATCAACCAGTCAAACTGAGACCATGACGTAACTAACCACAAGTTGAAGCACGGATACCTAGTTCTTGGTTAGAATTATGTCAAAACTGTCAAACGAGGATCGTACATCACTCTACAGGTGGCGTTTATATGCTGTTTGTAGTTGTTTATTAATCTAGCTGTAGCCTATACCGCTATTAATGCTATTGACCATTGAGTGTCCCTAGAACGTGATACTTATGCGGTAGTGTCGAAAACGATAATAATTCTTTAAAATTACTGTAAGTGGTCATTACTGACCATCGTCTCTTAATTAATAACCGCAAGCATTGGCAGCATTGTTTCACTGGCCAGTGTGGACTCAAACTATAGTTATCGTACTGCTTTCGTTATTGTACTTGAAAACCTGGATTAAAATTCCTACAAAAGTTACCATTTTAACTTAGGTATATAAAATTGGTTAAAATTAAAAAATAGTTCAAGTTAATTATTATTTGCTTTTGTTGCATAAAAGCTAAATTTA